TCAAAATGGTTTGATCGGTGATGACGGACATACATATTTATATACAATCATGTATTTATATTTAAAAGAAAGAAAGAAGAAGTAGAATGGTTACAGCAAAATTTAAGGTTGACTAATACAAAGGTAAAATAAATATGCTTAAAAAAAATTCTTGTGCATTTGCATGATCACAAAAATTTGTTATGATTAAGAATCAGGTGATGCATATTAGTTATGATGCCTTAGATGCTACTAATGACTGTAGTAAACAAATACTGGTGAGTGATATCATATTCAGTTTAAAATCTCTGGAAGAGGTTCATCACGAATTGGTTATAAACTAGCTGCAGAACTGTAGCTATCTGTTTGAGAAAATTTGGACAGATAAAGCAGAGAGCTACAGGTTCATGCGTTGTGAAAACCTTCGATTTACGCAGACGAGATTTTGTTGCTCACTTCAGGTATTTAACTTATATTTTATGCTTTTCCCAGCTTTATAAATGATATCCGATAATTAACCATTCATTTAAATCCTATTTCTAAATGTTTTATTTACCTTTCAATGGTTCAAGAAGGGCCGTTTGTGTATGTAGACATAGAAATCGGAATCTTTAAAACCGACATTCCTAACCTATAGAGGACTGTTTTGGGCCATTGAAAGGTAAATAAAGTATCAATAATTGGATCAAAATGTATGATTAATTATCGGATACAATTCTAAGAGCGAAACAAAACATAAACTACAAGAAATGATATAGTATCTAAAAGGAGCAACATAAAATCTGCGGCGTAAATTGAAGGTTTTTACAATTTTTACGCGTGCATCTGTAGCTCTCGGCTTTATCTGTCTGAAATTTCACATGTAGAGAGTTACAAACCAAAATTTGTGAGGAAAAAAAAGGCTGGAGATAGTTATTTTGATGCTTCCTTAGTGGCATATATAAAATATATTAATTTCTCATTTGAAACCTCTAAGAGTAAGCTGTTTTCTTTTTGTAAATTTATATAAACTCATATAATTTATATTTTATTTATTACATTTTATGATTGAAACTGAGAGGAATCTGAAGAATCTGATTATAAAAAACAATCAAAGGATACAAAATAGGTACATGTATTAAGTCAAGAGATAAGAATAAGTTTATATATAATAATATAAAATTATATGATATAAAGTATAATTTTTTTCCTCAATTTTATGCCGTAAGAAAATGGGCGCATTTTGCCTATGATCTGCAGGAATCATTTGTACGAAACATTTATGATTTAAATGTCCATGATTTGGTTGGCTGAACAGAGTTGATCAGATTTTACAAACACGTCCTTAGGTTTTTTTTCATGTAGTTTGAAAGACTTTGTGAGATTGTAGCATTTATGTCTGATTTTCATGGGGGGGTACTATAACATAGTAATGTTTCACAAAAATACATGTAAAACACCTAAATATTTAATGCATGGATGCATATGGAACGCCGTCACTGCCTTATAGCAGAACACAACATTGCATTGCGTCAACCTTCCACTGCATTATGTCAACACTTTATGACATTTATTCACACTACTATTGCATTGTGTCAACCTTCCATTACATTATGTCACCTCTTTATGACATTAACCCACACTATTATTGCATTATGTTATGTCAACCTTCCATTACATTATGTCCACTCTTTATGACATTAACCTACAATACTATTGCATTATTTCAACCTTCCATTATATTATGTCAACTCTTTATGACATTAACCCACACTACTATTGCATTGTGTCAACCTTCCTTTACAATACATCAACTCTTTACGACATTAACCCACACTACTATTGTATTATGTCAGCCTTCCATTACATTATGTCAACTATTTATGACATTAACCCACACTACCCTTGCATCGTGGCAACTTTCCTTTACATTATTGCAACACTTTGTGACATTTACACATACTACAATTATATTTTGTCAACTTGCATTTCGTTATGTTTACTGTTCATGACATTTAAAATTAAACAACAATTACATTGTGTCAACCTTTCATTACATTATGTCAATTCTTTATGATATTATGTGAAAAGCTCATGTCATACTGTGCGCACTCTTCTACATTATGTCGATTCACTATTACGTTATGCGAACACGTGTATCCTCGGCCTTTATATGAACATAACGTATTTTTTGCGTTCCGAAAGCACTAAAATTGGCGGGAGAGAAAACTGTCGTAGAAGAAATTCTCAGCGATTTTGGAATGACATCTTTAACAAAAACTTTAAGCGACAAATGATTGACAATCTTGAAACGTGCAAAGCCTTAACACTGCGACTGTGAATTAAATTCACGTCGAAATTCAATGGTGTTTACTTTAATCTGATAATTAAGTAAATCAAATATTATGAGTCGTGCAGCAATTTTTTTTCTTTTTCTTTTTAATTTTTTTTTGTTTTGTTTTGATAAAAGTCTTAAACTTCTGATCTTGCTAAGAACATTGTCATAAGATTTTCATCAGTCTTTAACTTTCCTTTTTTTTAAAAGTGTAAACACATCGTATAACACACGTGCACTGGTGGGTTGGGTTGGGGGGGGGGCAGAAATCCCGCCGTACCATCTTAAGTGTCCAAAATATACATAAAATTAATAAATTTATTGGTTTTACTTTGTAGGACATTGCATTAGTTTCACATTAAGTTTAGATGAATTAAGTTGAAAACTTTTTTTCTATAAAACTATAAAGCCTGAGAGTTTCTCTGCTTTCTTCCTTGGTCTCCAAACATTGGCGTCGGAGGCAAACTGAAAGTGTTTGGGGGGGGGGCTAAGTGTAAGAATTTTTTTATACCTTCATAAAAAACCTGACAAGCAAAAGGAAGAAGGGGGGTTAGGTTCGAACTTCACTAGCAATTGCTTTTTCAAACAACATCACTTTCCACAGTATTTTTAGCTAAACTACAACGTGTCTGTGGAAAGTGGTGGTGGGGGGGGGGCTTAACCTACGCAGCGATGTTCAATGTCTATACTAAGTCTATCTGCATGAGGAAAAAGTGTGTGTGTGGGGCTAAGCCCCCATCAGCCCCCCCCCCCACCCTTGTTCCGACGTCTATGCCAACCATATACCGCCCCCCTACCTTGTTCAAGATTCCCATATCCGCCATCCATGCTTACTAAGGCATATTCAATTGATTTAGATGAGGGACTGGTAGATTTTTGTAATAGAATTCTGGCCCAAGAATGGTTGAAAAAATTTCTAATTCCAGTGACGTAGCATCTTTTTTGAAAGGGGAGGTCAACCAGAAAAAAAATATTAATTTTCCCGAAGAAACTTGACAAGCCCCCAAAAATTGTCCAAGCCCGAAAATTTTATTTCGGGGAGGGGGAGGGGTCAAACTTCGATCAGTCGTAATTTTTTTTTTTCAGATATACTTCATTGCCCTCAGTGGACTATTCTTCAACAAAAAGTAGGGGTAGGGCTGTAATTTCAATGAACATTACTTTTTCTATAGTAAAGTTATGTCTGGGAAAAGAGGGGGGGGGGGCTGTTATTCTTCCTAATCAATCAGGAACCCCCCCCCCCTCTTAACAGTCTTTAAAACACGGTCGTCAACATTCATTGTATACTAGATATACAGCTTTGAGATAATGTAAATGTATTTTTACATCGGGTAATGCACTTTTGGAATCACCATGATAAAGAGTTAACACAATATAAAGCTATTTTTAGATCACATAAGACAGAGTTGACATAACGTTATAATATATCCACATCACGGTATGGAGTTTTGACATAATGTAATAAAGTGTTGATATAATATAAAGATATGTTCACATTATGTTATACACTTTTTACACCACGTAATAAAGCACTGACATGAAGGTAAGATGTGTTCACCTCACATCATGATGCTCTCGGCGTAAAATAAAGATAAATTCATATCATGTAATAATGCTTTGATATCATAGAAATATACACTCTCGAAAAGGAATGGATTTTTGACTTCATGTAATGATAAGTTTAATTATAAAACACAATTTACTTGACGTAATGCAATTTTGACCTCACATATTAAAGAAATGAAATGATGTAAAGAAACATTCATTTCACGTAATAAAGTTTTAACACAATGTAAACATATTATCACTTCACATAATTAATTTTTTACTTCAAGTTATGAAGTGATGACATAATGAAAGGATGCATTTACTTCATGTAATGCAGCATTGACATGATGTTAAGATATCTTTACATCATCTCATAAAAAATTGACATAACGTAAAGATATGTTCACATCACGTTATGATAAATTGACATAATAAATGCATAGCTGTATGCTATAAGGCAATGATGGATGATTCACGTACGTGTACATTATAGAATAGGAAATTGTAATTGATGTCGCTGGAGAACCAAACTGAACCAAAATTTATCTAATTCAAAATTTTAATACATCAGTACATACTAGTAAAATGAAACTGACAAAATAAATGGTTGTTTGCATGAAAAAAAATAAACGCCCCATGCAAGGCTCGAACCAAAAACTTGTCGCTTCGAGGGCACTGAACAGGTAGCGCCACTTACAGAGCTATCACTGCTACCCATATACAGATGATTTTAAAAGGACAAAGAAGCACATTCACACATTTGGATTTTTTGGATAAAAGTCCATTTTTCGTGGTCTCTGGGTCTTCTCTCTATTTTTTAAAAATGTGTACTCGTTTTTTTTTAATTAAAATACACACAAATACATGTATAACGTTTAAAAATCATAGAGAGAAGACCCAGATATAGAAATTTTCGAAAAACGTGTTTAAAAATGTACCATTTTGTACCAAATGTCTGATCTGGCCAATTTTCAAGTTATTTTTTAGCAAATCAAAGCCCAATTTCGGGGAAATATTTTTCTTTCTTGTTACACAGGAACCCGATAAATTAAAAAAACGTTAAAATTTCATGTTACCTGTCGGTAAAATTTTTACTTTTCAGTTACGCCCAGATTCCTGTCGAATGGCAATCAAAAGCGCCCTCTTTCTTCACTTTTTTTTTTCTCAAAAACAATTTACATTACCATCAAGGTTAGACATGAACTATAAATTAAAACTATAACTTACAAAAAGTACAAGTACATTTTTCAATGAATCATATTAGGAATCCCGAGAACGTGGTGACAGGAGCATCACCTGTTGTATAATAACCAGTTCCAGTGTAATGTTTGACCCAAACTCGATCCCCTTTAATAAGCCTTAACACCGCTAAGTTTGGTCCTGCCTCGTACCTTTCACTAATATAATATACAAGTGTTGTGACTTTAGCCGAGCCATTTAGCACTAAATATGTCTTTACATCATAAGAACTACCTTGAACGTTCACGAAGAAAACAAAGTGTCCGTCTACAGGGGATGTGAAGACACCAGTACTTGAGTCGTACCCTCCTCCTATGTTGTACACGATCCTATCAAACACCAGTGTACCGCTGCTCCAGGAGCGGCTGCCTGAACTCACACCGGCTGTAAAGGCTACTTTTTGGGTGATGTCTACAATTTGAGGTTCACTAGATTTGTAAAACATGTAATTTTTGTATGTTATATATTTTAAAATCAGCATTGATCATTAGGTAAATTTGATAACTTTCGATAATTTCTTGGGTAGCTAGATTCTATATTACACTGTTTTGTCAATAATTTCTGGTAATAAGATAAAGTTTGTCTACCTGTGTTTAAGAATATATAATGTGTTTTTTTTAATTAAACTAAATAAATCATTTAGACAATATGTAAATTACAACCATTTTTTTACATACATGTACATGTATACTGAATTCGAACGTGTCTGAAACTACTAGAACCTTACTATGATTTAAAAAAAAAGTACTTGTATACTTAAGAAATAGTTATGCTAGAATACATACTGGTTATTTGTCCATAAACATCTCGAATTTGATCCTCAAATTTGAAACTTAAGTTTCTGGTTAAAGTTGTATCGAGTTTGTCCGTCTTAGAATGTATGTCCATTAGAGACAAGCTTGTGTATCGCATCTGAACCTTTATATCGTGTAAGTTTTTTATTGAATCAGTGAGCTGTTGAGTTAAATTTTTGTCATACGCTTCGTTTGCAGTCAAAGCATCATGAATTTCATTAAGTCGTTGAGTTAAGTTCTTGTTCTGCCTGTCATAAATCGCATTTTTGTTTTCCGCCTCATTCAGTCGCAGAGTTAGATTTTTGTCGTATTCCTCATTTGTCGCCAAAGTTTGAACAATTTGTTCTGTGCGACTTAAATACGCCATTAATTCATCATTGAAAGGAGGCTTTGACGCATTTAGTTTATTCAGTTCCGCTTCCAAAAAGAATACTCTGTTTTGTAGCAACTTTTTTTCGTCACTAAGAACGGTTAGATTATGATTAAGTACCTGTATGGTAATTCTTTCTTGATCGGATTGTCTCTTTAGATTATCAACCTCAGTAGTTAAGTTCAGAACCATTCGCTTGATTTCCTCCACATCGGCATTGTGTCCACCTGGCCCATGGATTGTGTCGCTTCCATTAGAAGTTCCCTGCATTAACAATGCAGAGCCATCTCCAGTGTTAAACAAAAACAGTAAAATTATAATGTAAAAAGGATTTTCAGCTCGCATTTTGAAACCTTTACGTGGTCTTGTATTTCTTTACAGCAGTATGTTGCACCTCTCCTGATTTCCTGTGTATTTTTTGTTTCATCTAGCGACTTCGATTATATATACTCCTCTGATAATCCAAGGGAAAAAGATAAGAATGTACGAAATCTGGGATATTATAAATCTGTGATGTGGCTTTTTATATAACATTTCTTCTTTAAGAAATGCACGTTTAATATGTACATAAGTTTAAAATCTTCGTTCAACAAAGAAACTTGAAAGGACATATTTTGGTATCTATCAAGTATAATCTTAATTTAAGAAAAGAACAAACAAGATATAAATGATTTGTTGCTACATTTCGTGGAAATAATGAAAATTTGCTGAACATGAGACTAAATAACGCATTGAATAGTTTCTACACTTGACACTGAATAAATATCTATATCTATAGATCAAAGAAATTGAAATCTTTATAAAGTTGGTCTGTGGTACAAGGACAGGTAACACGTGTTTGATTATAAATTACTTAATATTTTTTAGATACGTAATCACGTAAAATAGATAGTCCGTTTTGGCCTTTAGTGTTCGATTTTCGTAGAAATCTACATATTAAATCTTATCTAGAAAATCTTGACTACACTATTTCGCAGAAAATCAGTTATGCTGATAGTTGTGCATACTGGCGGTTTCCTCAAAAAAGTTTTTTTGGACTTCAAGGAATTCTGGTTGTGCAACATACCCACCCCATCTTTATTTTACTCCTCTGCAGGTAGCGGCAAATTAAAACCTGTGTTTAAAACCTGTGTTTCACTTTTGTTTGAGACCTGCCTAGAAAAAAATACAAATACCTTCATGCTTAAATTGGAACTGACTTCATCTGGATTGGGGGTGAAGGGTATATCCGCGCCTCGGCTAGGAACTCAAAAAATCATTACTTATCATGGTAATTTTAAAATTCTCAAAAGGAGGCTTGAAATTGGAATCTCTGTGCAACAATTTTCATTTCATGCATTTCATTTATGTTTAAGGACAATTGATACAAACAAATTTTATCTTTGGAAGAGACTTAGTATCATGTCACAAGTTTAGAAAAGTGGATGATTCTTAGAATTTTTTCTCCTAAGAACTGGAAAATGAAAAAGACTTGTAAAATTTTACTAATATTTCAATAAAGAAACAAATATAGACAAATCACACTAAAATATAGACAAATCAGACTCAGTAAAGGTTTACATGTGAATACAAATTTCAGAATATGCTAGCTTGGTGCTAAAAATGTTATATAAACTTTTAAAAATTATACCAAGCCAGGTGAATTTTTATTAGAAAAAGCAAAATTGGTATAAACCATTTTGCTTTTCCTCATAAAATTCACCTTTCTTGGTTTATTTTTCTAAAGTTTATATTATACTTTTAGCACCAAGCTAACATATTCTGAAATTTATTTTCATCTGTAGACCTTTACTGAGTGTGTTTTATCCATTTTTATAATTTTATTGAAATATTACCAATATTTACCAAGTATATTTCATTTTGCAATTCTTAGGAGAAAAATTCCAAGAATTATATCCACTTTTCTACACTTGTGACATGATATTAAGTCTCTTCCAACGATAAAATTTGTTTGTATCATCTGTCCTTAAGCTTTGTTGAAATCTAGCCTTAGATACTAATATGTTCAGCAGCATGAGATAGAATTACAAGTTTCAGATGGATACATGTACGTAGCACAAAGCCTTTTACACTACGTATATGTAAAATAAGTTTTATTCTAAAATCATTTTTTTGGATAAAATGTCAAATAAAGAGAACGCATAGATGATTCCTTAATTTCGTTTTTCTCGAGATTTTATGTAGAATTATGAATAATTTGATAATTTCCATTTATTCAGTAAGGATTAACTTGAATGATGAACATTTAAGATAGAAACACCCAAGGTAAATACATACTACTTTGTAAACATTTTGAAGACTGATATTCAGAATCTGAGAATCAGTCTTTACATTTGATATACCATTTCAGTGGCGGATCCAGAGAGGGGTTACGGGGGTTGCCGTCCCCTCTTTGAATTTGCAAAAAAAAAAAAAAAAAAAAAGAAAGAGAAAGAAGGAAGTCCCAAATTTTTGTTGTTATTTTTTTACTATAGAAAAGGTTAAGTGAAAGGCTAATGTTGTATTATATAGGGAAATTCGGTTGTGAATGCAAAATTAAACCCCACCCCTTTACAAAATGGGATTTTCGGGTACGGAGATATATTTTCCTTTCTTTTTCAAAAACTTTCAGGTAATACAAAAATTTCGGAATATATCATCACATTTTAACATCTGTAGAATTCAATATTAGTTTATTCTATCAAACAAACTGATCTATTTATTCTATGGACAGTCAGATACCTTTAGATCAGCAAACTGAGATTAAAAGTCCAAATTCAGGGCTAGTAAACAACCTTTTAAAATGTCTCGTTAGTTGAAAACATGTTATCGTCAACTCGGTTGATGTTGTCGGTTACTTCGGTTTTTGACGGTTGTACGTTATCGGAAACTCAGGTTAAAAAGTTTCCTTCGTAAATAGATTAGAAAAATCCACTATATTTTGCTAATCCTTGAAAATAGCAAACGTAAAAGCCTGCTTTGATATAAATGTAGATAATCTAATATATAAGATAAATAATTATAAATTCATAATAGAACTACTCATCTGTTCAACCATTTTTCTTGTTTTCAATTCAAGATAAGCTCTTGGAGACCGCTTCAGGCAGTTTCAAACGTAAATATATCATGTTTAATTAATCATAACTACGGCGCCGCTGAAGGGCCAGGTAAAACAATATTTTTATTTGTTCGGACAAATTAGAAATTCGTTCGGACGAATTAGTTATTTGTTCGGACAAATTAGATATTTGTTCGGACAAATTAGATATTTGTTCGGACGAATAAGATATTCGTTCGGACAAATTAGAAATTCGTTCGGATGAATAATTTATTTGTTAGGACGAATTAGATATTCGTTCGGATGAATTAGTTATTTGTTCGGACGAATTAGATATTCGTTGGGACGAATTAGATATTCGTTCGGACAAATTTGAAATTTGTTCGGACAAATAAGTTTTTTGTTTGGACAAATTAGTTATTTGTTGGGACGAATTAGATATTCGTTCGGACGAATTAGTTATTTGTTCGGACGAATTAGATATTTGTTCTGACAAATAAGTTATTTGTTTGGACAAATTAGATATTTGTTCGGACGAATTAGATATTCGTTCGGACAAATTAGAAATTCGTTCAGACGAATTAGTTATTTGTTCGGACAAATTAGAAATTCGTTCGGACAAATAAGTTATTTGTTTGGACAAATAAGTTATTTGTTCGGACAAATAAGTTATTTGTTCGGACAAATTAGAAATTCGTTCGGACAAATAAGTTATTTGTACGGACGAATTAGAAATTCGTTAGGACGAATTAGTTATTTGTTGGGACGAATTAGATATTCGTTCGGACAAATTAGAAATTCGTTCGGACAAATTAGTTATTTGTACGGACGAATTAGAAATTCGTTCGGACGAATTAGTTATTTGTTCGGACAAATTAGATATTCGTTCGGACAAATTAGAAATTCGTTCGGACGAATTAGAAATTTGTTCGGACAAATTAGTTATTTGTACGGACGAATTAGAAATTCGTTAGGACGAATTAGTTATTTGTTCGGACAAATTAGAGAAATTGTGAACAACTATCAGGACACCGCGAATAATGTGCGATTAGCACCAAGACGTTTCATTTTATTTTGATTCTTTGCAAAATAACTTTAATGAACAACATTATCAATAAATAATTTGAAGATAAGTCGTTTTAATGTTGATCTCTTTCTTATGATTTTTATGTACTGTACATATTCACTACCGTGCAGTTATTAATCATGACATGTGAATGATTTTTGAAATACATTTCTGATACATATGTCGCCGATTTGTAGCTGAAATATTGCCGATTCGGCGTAAAACATTCAATCAGTCAATCTGGTACATATGCGGTGTAGAAAATGATTAAAAGGTCCTCATTGAGTTTTTAATTAACTATTCCTGTTTGTGAATTTAGAAAACTTCACAAAAATGAACCTGTTCGTATTGATCCCAGGTTGTTCATATGACTCGCGAGCCGGTGAATTACGAGGTCAACCGATCAAACTGGTATATTCCCTAGTCCATTGATTTTCAGAGCATAATTATAGCCCCCTCCCGTTATTGGAGAGGTACATGTAATCGAACAAACTATTTAATTTCACTTTCAGCATTTTTTAATTTTGTTTATATGCTTTTACAGTTGAGTACCAGATCGAAGGTTTGATAGGCCAATGACTCACAAAGAAAGGGAAATTATGAAAGCAACCCCTTTTACAGGGAAAATAAATCATGAATGAATGTCCAAATATTTTCAAGTAACAACCCCCCTCCTCTATTTAAAAAACGATCGATTGTCTTAATCATTGAGAACCTTAAATTGCATTAAATTATGATGTGTTTTTAAATTTTACTGCACTTTCTAGGAACGTACATGTATTCATCTATTTCTATCCTTTTCCCGGAAAGGGACGTGTGTTTAATTTGGTCAATATTATACCTGCATGCAATCATGCGCTTTTCTGATATTTAAATATAAAATAAAATTTATATAGATACTTAATAATAGTTTTTAACGAAAGAAAGAAAGAATCCATTGGATATGGACTTATGAGATTCTCTCTTTTTGTTCCTTTATCACAAAATACTTAAATGTGGGAACAGCGGTATAGAAGCAACTCTACAAATGTCCTGGCTAGTAAACCCCACCTTAAAATAATTAAGACCCTCGAATAAGAGGTTCGATATTTTGAGTCCGAAGTTTATTCAATTTAATACAATGCACCCACGTAGCATCGTTTTTGAAAGTGGGGGGAGGGGGGAGCCTGAGAAAAAAATAGCTACCTGAAAAGTTGACAAGCAAAATAAAAGGGGGTGACTCAGGAAAAGTTGCCCAAAGTTGACAGTCCTATTTCGTGGGGTGGGGTGGGGGGGGGGGCTTACTTTTTCAATGCCAATTTTTTCCCGTACCAATTGCCTGCAGTAGGAG